TATGTAAACAAATAAAAATGAATACAATCTGAACGATTTTGGATTCTCGCCGGCTTTTAATGTATTTAAACCGAGTCGTTGATCCGTCTCAATTTTTTTGTGCAGACATAAAAAATATGTTCAGATTTGAGAAATTTAAAATCTTAAAATTAGTCATTGTAATTTTGTTCGTATAATATATCTAAACCAAAACAAAATGGAAAACAATAGAAAAATTAATTAAATTAATTTGAATTCGAGTGAGTCTGATAAATAATAATACAACTATAGCTTATATGAATATAACTTCTATATAAAATCCGATTGTGGATTATATTTCATAAAACGTTCGTTAATAGATCAGCAAAATTTGTAGTATCATTCACTACATTTTATTAATCACTTTTTACTTTTCAAACATAAACGTTGAATTTAGTTGATTCTTGAAAAACAATAATTTCTCATTTATATATCATTAGCATTGGTTACAGAAAATAAAATTGTTATCATGCTTGGATATAATTTTAGATTTATATTTTACATTTGGACAAATCAGCCCAAAATAACTATGTTAAAAATCTTTGCAGTTTACATTTCGGAGTTTAAGAAGGAGTAAACCCACGTGGATTTAATTTTTCACGCAGTAAAGGATCAGTTTATAGTTACCTACCTATTATAATTATAATTTATACTGTTATAATGACGACACATAACATAATTGTGAATATTACTTTAATATTAAGTATATTACCTAATCTAGAATAAAATGACATTAAAATTATCAACAATTAATAAATCGACTAATTTAGTTATTTGTTTAGGTAATAGGTATAGAGTACATTTTTAAAAGAGAATTACTTTTAATGAATCACATAGATACGTTTATAATATTTTGTCTGTGCACTAACATGTTTTATTTACTAATTCTATATTTTAAATTGTTATTTAACAGCTAGGTACCAAACCATCACACACATATTTTATTATTTTGTCAACAATAATGTTTGCCTCGACCTATTTCTTCGCATAACAAGTATAGGTAATAACTAACAAGTAATAACACTATAATAACATGTGTTGGAAGCGAAAGCGCAACACACACATGCGAATTACAATGCAATCATATAAATTAATACAATAATTGGATTGAACATTGAGAATAATTGTTTTTGAGACTGATGGAAAACAGCTGGATAAGTTTAATGCAATCTGAAAGTATATTTTACTACACTCTACGATTTTATATTCACAGCAATAAATATAAAATATATTAGGTTAGGTTCCTTGTAGCTTGTCAAACAGTAGTACTACGTAAATTATTTAGATACCTCAAATAATCTTAATTACTCCTTGATGATGGTAAGGACTACAACTACTGTATAGAAACATAAACCAGATAGACACCTAACAGATTAACCACCACCTAGTGCTTTTAGTTACTATAATAGTCTAATATAATATGACAAGGCTATTCAAACAATTAGTATATATTATGGTGCTTCAAAAATATAAATACATTTAAAAAAAAGTTTATGTTGATGAGATTATAACATATATTTTATATCTAAACACTTACAACTTTAATTGATAAGTACATCAACTTTTTACCCATGGTTGTCTTATTAGTTATGACAAACTTTTAAATAATAATTTTGAGTGAAAAGCATTACTAAAACATATTTTATACCTACACTACAAAGATCTAAATATCATAATAATTAGGGCTTGGAAGTTGTAGGAATTGCATATTGTTTTATATACTCTCAAATGTAGCAGACCGAGGTTGAAATCCGGGTCATACAATGATGAGTTTAAAAATCGAAAATTTAAAATGCATATTTTTTGCATATTTTGTTAACTCTAAGGGCAAAATGCATATTTCTTGTTTTTCATAATTATATTATGCATAATATTCATTATTTTCTAAAAAATATTGATCTTTTTCTTTCTTAACTTGTATTTTTCAATATTAATATTGATTATAAAATCTCAATATATTATGAATTCTTTAATTATAATTATCAAGTTAATAGTCTACTGTAAATTTAACAACGGTGTGTTTTTTTTTTTTGACACCAATGTGCCTAATTTCTATCGCACTAATGTTTTGCTGTACTATCTTTTCAAATATATTTTTTTAAACTATTTTTTGAGTTCAATAAAATTTCAAAATGGCGAACAGTTTTCTGATCTATTCTTTCTGACATTTTTTCAAATATCATAAATTTATTGTATATATTTTAACATTTCTTTTAGTGAAAAATATTAATAACAATACAACATAAAATGGTTTTTGTGGAATTTGGAATTCTTAAAAAATTTGTTGGCACATTTGACATTTTTCGTTCATATTTAAATGCATATTTTTCCTTTTTTAGCTTCTATAATTTCTGACTTCCGAGTCCTAATAATAATAATTAAAATATTCAGACCTTAAGTAGGTATCAAACTATTTAGGTAGGTTAAAATAGGTAATTTTACTATAACATTGTAATGAAATTAAAATAGTAGCTAGCAGTGGTTTTGATGAAATATTACATTATAACAATATATTATCTAAGATGTTATAGTAAAGCATTTATAATAAAATATATTTGATAGGGCTTCGAGCGACCATTTTTCGTAAATTATTTTTATTTTATTAAAATAGTACATAGTATAAACTACTAACAGTATATACTATTACTTTTATTGTAATACTGNAACTTACTGATCAAATTTCAAATACCAAAACCAAAAGGTAGGTATTTGGAACAACTCTGTGGAAAAAAATTGGAAAAGAGTTAAATACAGAATACCGTCGTCACAAAATAGGAACATAAAAAACGCCTGTTCTTAGTTCTTACATACAATATATAAATGATAAGGATTATTTATTATTTTAATTGTTATTATTCTTCTTCTTCTTCTTGGGTATTATCGGCCACTAGGACCATCCCGTCAAACAACCAATCCTCCATGACTCTCTGTCAGCTGCTTTTGTTTTCCAATCTGGGCCACCGTTCAGCGATTCCACGTCTTTCTTTATTAATACTTCCCATCTTAAACGGGGTCGTCCAAGGGGTCTTTTCCCTTTTGGGTTCTCTGTCAATACTACGTGTAGTAGTGGGTTCTGACTACGCCATGCGTGACCCGCCCACTGTAACCTCCTACTCTTGATTATGTTTAATATGTTTGGCTTCTGAAAGAGTTCTTCTAGTTCTTTGTTTTTCCTTATTCTCCATCCCTCAGTTTCCTCGTCTTTTACTGGGCCAAAGATCTTTCTTAAGATTTTCCTTTCCAAAATAATCAGTTTGTTTTCCTCCGTTTTTCTTAATGTCCATGTTTCTGCTCCGTATGTAATTATGGGACGTAAAAGTGTAGTATATAATTGTAATTTTATATCTCTCGACAGGGATCGGGACCCTAGTATCCTTATGAGTCCGTAAAGACATTTGTTTCCCGATTGGATTCTTGCTGCCACTTCCTTATCAGTTTCATTTTTTTCGGTCAAAACAGAACCTAAATATTTAAATTGTTTGACTCGATTGAATTCATGGTTGCCAACTCTTAAGGAAGGGTACATTCTGGTACTATCTCTTCTCCCCACCACCATGTATTCTGTTTTGTCTTCGTTTATTTGTAAGCCAACCTTCTTAGCTGCCTCCTCCAAACGGCTGCATAATGATCTTAATCCATCATGTGATTTATCCATGAGGACCAAATCGTCCGCATAAGCCAATAATGCCACGGAGGAGCCTTGTAGTGGCATCCCCTCCTGTGGTCCAATATTAGTTTCCCTGATAACCTTTTCTAATACCAGATTGAAAAGAACAGGTGACATTGAGTCCCCCTGTCTTAGGCCTGAGTTCACACTTATTGGGTCGGTTTCCGCTTCTCCTACTCTTATTTTAATGAACGTTTCCATAATACATGATTCGATCAACTTAACTAATTTTTGTGGGAAGTTATACTCTCTAAGAATATTTATCAAGATTTTGCGATGAATACTATCGTATGCCTTCTTGAAGTCGATAAAGAGCAGGTGCATTTCCTTGTCGAATTCCCAGGTCTTTTGAAAAAGTTGTCGGAGAATAAATATTTGGTCTACCGTAGATCTTCCCGGCCTAAAGCCTCCTTGATAATCTCCAATGATTTGCTCCGATTTTGTTCTTATCCTTGACAAGATACAGTTCGTGAAAACTTTATACGCAACACTTAGCAGGGAAATTCCGCGATAATTATTGCAATCTTGTTTATCCCCTTTCTTATGAATTGGGCATATTAAGGCTATTTTCCAATCTTCCGGAACTTTTTCGGATAGCCATATTTGGTGGATCAATTTCCACATCCTGAACGTCATTTCTTCTCCTCCTTTTTTGAGAAGTTCTGCATGAATTTGATCCTCGCCAGGTGACTTATGATTTTTTAATATGTTAATTTGGAATCTTATCTCGTCCAATGAAGGTTCTGGGCATTCTTGTTCTTCTTCAGTTTCTAAGTTGAGGCTAAAGACTTCATCAGGTGCTTCACAGTTAAGGAGAGTATCAAAATAATCTCCCCACTTTTTGGCTAATTCTTCATTCGTGGTTATCAACGACCCATTGTCATCTTTTAGGAATCTTTCCTTCTTCTTGTAACCACCAGTAAGATAATTTATGCGTTTGTACATATCTCTAGCCCTATGTGCTTTGTAGTCTAGTTCAGCATTAACCATAATTGTTATTATATATATATATATATATATATATGTATCTGGGGATTGCACTTAATTGGTTAGTCAACGCTGTGTTACTATAATAACTATACACTGAATACTAAAACACAAAGAAAAATTAAACTGTGGATGCTAGACTATAAATGCTGATCAAGTAAATGTTGTAAATACCTATCACTTTCATAATAATAATAATGATTATATTTCATAACTTAGAAAAGATTTTTAACTTATTATTTAATATTATTTAATTAATACAACTTCTCATATTAATATACATAAAAAATGCTGTACACAATTTTAGTCATCTGCACAAATAAGTCTCTTATAAATTATTATGCAGGAATATTAGTTGTGATGCTTTTTTTGTATCCAAGCGGTTTCTTTTTAAAGTAATAGTTTGGCCAGCTTCTGAAAATATCCTTTCACAAGGAACACTTGTTGCAGTCACACAGAGTCGCTTAATGACAAATGTATATAGGTGAGGATATATATTTTTACGCTCATGCCACCATTTTAAAGGATCTTTATGCCGATCTATTAACGGCTCTTGCATATATTTGTCTAGTTCTATTATTCCAGATGCTGTTGATGACTGAGTGGCTTTGAATTGTTCTACTTTTTTTTCGTAGACTTTCCACAACAGAGATACTGGAGGAGACGGAGTTGATGTAGATGTGGAAGGAGTTTGTTCAGCATTGTCTTTTTGATTGGATGGTAAACTAATATTTCCTAAACGTGATCTTAATATCGAAAAAGCATTTTTAAATTTATTATCACTCATAAAACCATACTTCTTAAATCTTGGATCTAAAATCGATGCTTGCGCTATTATTTCACTTTCTTCAATTTCGCTATACCTTTTCCTCAGTTGATTTTTGAGAGAAACCGCCATTTGGTTAACTTCATAAGGCAAAGATATGTCATTAATGTAAGTTTCCATAGTCTGCAACATAGAACTAACTAAAACTATTACTTTTGACACAGACACTGTTTTTTCAGAATTAACTTCAATTGTTACTTCATTAAAAATTTGCAACACTTCAATGGCCTTTTCTACTATATCCCATTCTGCTGGAGTTAAGACTACAATGTCAGTTTGTAAGACAGCTAAAGTTGAAATTACAGCATCTTTGATGGAGACAATTCTCTTCAACACATCAAATGTTGAATTTCATCTAGTCACACAATCTTGTTTTAATTTCAACGTAGGTAGACCCATTTGAGTTTGTGTTGAATTAAGTTTTACTAATGCATTACTGCTACGTTTAAAAAACTCAACAATTTTTTTTTACTTTAGCTACTATGACAGAAATATTCTCAAGAGAGTGTTGAACAACAAGATTAATAGAATGGGCAAAACATCCTACATGTCGATAATGTAATTGACGTACAGCATTAGAAATATTTGAAGCATTATCGGTAACAATGGCTTCAATTTTATTATTAATTTTCCATTCACCTGCTATTTTTTTTAAAAAGGCAGCTAGATTATCTGACGTGTGCCGTTGGTCAAAATGTTCACAGCCAAGACAAACAGAAGACATTTTACCATCATAATCAATAAAGTGAGCTGTAACTGCCATATAGCTCCTATTATTTATGCAAGTCCATCCATCCTCTGTTAATGAAACTGCACATGCATTTTCAACTTTTTTTTTTAAAACTTCTAATGTTGAATTGTATAATCGGGGAATCAAATTTTTTGATACTGTCTGGCGAGAAGGAAGTTCGTATCCAGGGTTTAACATATTTACGAATTTTCTAAATTCTTTATCGTCTACTATGGAAAACGCATAGTATCTGTATCATAAAAAAAAAAAAAATTGAAATATGGCGTTGAAAAGTATTAAGCTAATCTGATCTTATTTATACTAGTAAAAAGCTTTCAGAAAACGTGGGTAAAAATACAAAATGTTTAAATGTTTTGAGGGTGTAAAATTTTTTAAAACCAGTAAATATCTAATTGTAGTATTGTAGTTATATGTAGGAATTCAAAATATAATATTACTTTAAAATATACTTATTACTTTTTTTTTGTTTCTAGTCAAAATGTATTAATAATTTTAATATGATTAAAAATAAAAATATGTAGTTACCCTTTATCAATCATCTTTGTAACTTGCTCATCAATTTGTTTTGATCTACTGACAGCCATAGGTTTTTTATTTTGCATAAAATGCATAATGCTACTTTGGGTGCGAGTTGGTTGGTTCGATTTAACATTACTAGTACCGGGAACAATTAATGTTTCTACTGGTGAATCTGCTTAATTAATCATTTAAAATAACATATAGAGTTTTAATAATTAAAAATTTTAAATTAATAAAAGAAATATAATAGTAAAAAATAATTTATTAAAAATACCATGATCTGCAGGATCATCTACATTACTTTCATCACTAGTCACTACTGCTTTTGATTGTATTACAGTGGGATGTACAGTTTTTAAGTGGCGACTCAGATTGCCAAAAGATCCACCAGCAACACTATACGTGTTACCACAATACCCACATTTGGCTTTGCTATTTTCCACTTCAGTAAAGTGATTCCACATATCACTCCTTTTACGTGGTGCCATTATTAAAATAATTTATAAAATATACTTTTAAATAATATGTTTTTAATTAAAATAATTAAATCTGTAAAATTTACCACGCTCAATAAAATAAACACTGTTCACTGTTAAATGCAAATACAGATACTGTAATAATTATTTGTATATTAATGCATACAGTCATAAAATATACTATAGTTATACATGGTATAGTTTCAAGTTTGTGCATGTTTTTACATGTCTACTCCTGTAATTTTACAATATTATTACCACTCATATTATTGTTTTTAAAAAGTTATACTACCAATCTTATTATATAAGATTATTATCATCATGTAGAAAAAAAAATACTTGTTTTAATTTTTTGACTTTTATAATATTACAATTTAACAGAATACTAATTTTGTGGTATTCAAAATGTTGCCACTTCTCCCATAATTAATGAATATTTTAGGGATAAGGGATGTCATTTTAATTGAATTATAAAAATAATAACAACACAATAGCATAACATTTTAAGTATTTATTATTGAATGTAAATAACAAAAGAAACAAATAAATTGTTATACAAAAATATTAAAAATTATATATTTAAAAAAATCTTCGCCATTTCTTCCTGTATTACTTAATTAACTATTGTAATTAATTATTGTATAAGTAAGTAATAATATTAGCTAATAGCCAAGTACATAAATATAAAAAAACATACAATTAAATAAAATAAAGAAGTATATTTAATGCATGATAATAATTGTATGTCTATTATAAATAAGTACCCATATCCAGTATCCACTATCTTATATATTATGTTCAAATAGAATAATTTTAAACATAGAATAAATGGTTCTAAATAGTTCATAATACAAAAATGGAATCAATATTTGCACTATTAGGTTCAATAGTTGGTCTCCATAGTATGATAACCGAAAAGTACCAACATTTTTATTAATATGGTTATTGTTATTGAATTAATGATTCTTAATATTCAATAATTTCATCATTATTTGTACACTAAATTAAATTTTTTTCTGTAATATATTATGAGCTAAAATCATTAGGACAGATTTGAATATTAATTTAGGTATTGATATAGATTGTAGTATTATAGAATTAGCATTATATAATAGTACATACAATCAATTAAGTAAAAAGGAATTAAAAGCTAAATAGATTCAAATTTGCCCTAAGTACAGGTAAAATATATTATTCTTTATATTGTATATCATCAGATTGTGAACAGCTGTTTTCAGGATTTTACTGGTATTGATAAAATGATAATATAAAATGAATAGTTCATTTATCATTACTCATTAGTTAATTTAGTATATTACCAAATGGCAAGTTATATAACTATGATCAGTATGATCTATATAGTTCCATACAACTATGAACTAGTGTACTGTGTGAACTGAAGAATAGTTCATTTGAACTATTCACTTAAATGAACTGTGAACTAACGAACTATTCACAAAAATGAACAAAAAATTCCATCTCTACTGGCACTAGAACTACAAGTACGAGTTGACACAGCCTGGTGGTAGCTATCGGTGAAGGCCGCTATCCAGCTTGGAGGGGCGTGACCATGGCTAAATGTATTTAGCCATGGGCGTGACCAACTCCTTAGGCTTGGCTTAGCGGTGGCAATTTATGTGACGGCCGTGCGCCCGTGCCGCCACAGAATTATAAAATTCATTCCGATGCGTAACGATACGTAAGTACGAAAACGCTAAACATAACCAAACATTTTATTAAAACCCATAAAAACTATCTGTTTCTTCAGAACTCAACGGCCTGAACTTAACCCTTAATATCATTTTTCGTTACAATCACGGATTTTAAGTTTATCAGCTATTTTCTAGTTTTCTAAGCACGTGCTCGGTAATGACATTAGTAAACACTATACATATTTGTTTTTGTAACAATATTATCATTTAGGTGCCATTTGATCGATCATTTTTGAAATTTTTTCATTCTTCTTGTGTGTTTTCCTTACAACGTCTGGGCTTGTAGTTTTGACAAAGCTTCACGACTTCTACTCTCTTCTACTGTTTGACGCTGCATAGAAATCGTACCTTTATAGATTAAAAAATAACCAAGTACGTTAAAAAATCGTTTTTGACTGTACATTTTTCAAAGTAAAATTTTGTTGTTTTGGTTTTGATTTCTTATTCCAGTTTAAATATTGACAATTGATGTTTATTGCCTATAAGTAATTGGTAATATATCATAATACTTGTAATAGTAATTGGTTAAGTAAGTACCTATCTACTATGTTATTAATTTTAATCAATATATGGCTGTAAATTTTTTTACGTTCATCAAAATGGTATACAAATTATAAAATAAATATTTTTTTTAGAATGTCAAACACAAATTCTTCTGTTACAAAGTTAAGAGGTAATGAAACTTCAAAAAATCACGGACAAAATCAGCCAAACTCTGATCGTAGCTTGCAGGCAGATTATGTAGCATCTGGCTCTTTACATTATTCAAATGTACGTTACTTAATTAATGATTTATTGATTTAAAAATAATCATCTTATTTTTCATGATTTGTATAGCCTGAAATAAATACTTTAGCGCATCAGCATAAATATAGAGGTAGAGGAATGGCTATTCAACGACTAGCTGAATCTATGGCTTCAAAGGGCAGAATGAAAAATTCAAATTTGGTTTGTATGATTATTTTAACTTATAATGTGCATTTATTATGTTATATAATATTTTATTGTTTTATAACATTGGTAACCATGGACATATTTAGTATTTGATTTTTGTGGAGCTTTAGTCCCAAACACTCTTTCAACTTTTATTTAATACTGCAAATGTTTTTATTTTTACATTTATAAATGCTTACAGAATAACCAGTAAAACTACTATTTAACATAAAATAAAATCATAAATTTAAATTTCTGCAAAAACATCTCATTTTTAATTTCAATATTTGTAAGTTCACTTTTAACATTTAAAATAGATAAATAAATGAAGTTTTTGCTCCTTGAATATTTTTATACATGCTTTTAAACCCATTATTTAAAATGTAAGTTAGACATAGAAATATATTGATTTCAAGATATTTTAAATATATTCTTGTTTGAACACCTAATATGTATCCTAACATCATACTGGCCCCATAATATGCAAGGGCTATCATAAGAATAAATTTTAAATCTAGTTCTTTCAGTTTTTCTTAAACTCTGTTATAGTATTATCAGTACATAGCCGGGGCCAAAAATATGTCCGGTCGACATGGGCGACATGGGCAGCAATAACATGCTGAGTTCTTCTTATTCTGTGTATATAATTTTTTTTTTTTTTAATTATTTAGGTGTTATCTAAAGAGTGTTTGTTAAAATAATCACCTTATACTATAGGTATTAGTCACTATTGACCAGTTACTGAACATGTGGAAAATGATATTATGACTGTCGCACCTAATAACAGATTATTATTATAATAATTTAAAAAATGTAGTTACCTTTGCAGTATTAGCTTCAATTAATGACATATCTACATCAAAGGCCAACTTTAAAAATATAAAATAAGCATTTAAACACTTTAAACATGTTTCTATGGATAATAATACCATATAACAATATAGATTTCATAATTTTTTCATTGAAAAATTGCATGTTTTTCTTCGCTAATAAATGCACCTACTTTGTATTTAGCGTAAAGGTGTGTTCAAGTCATAAACATATGTAGGCGATCAACAGATATAGTATAATTATTTTATAATAAGATCAACCAATATCTCTTTAAAGAATGACATACCGATTAGACATGGATTTACTACTTAGACAATGAACTACTTATACTTTAAATGTACTGTAGTAATCTGACGACTACAGGTGTCGTTTAGAAAAGGAGGATGAGATGTATTTCAAATTAACTAGTAAACTGATGATTTGTGGTATAATTGATTGTAATATTTAATTAAACATGATATTTAACCTGACAAACTGTTATTCTGTATCAGATAATTTGTCTCATAGAATTATTCTAAGCGTTCAGAAAATATCGGTTTGACCCAAATAATTCAATGATCTATGTTCATGTCTTCACTGCCTATATTGCGGACTATTTGTTTCCTTATATTACTTAGACTTATTTTGATTTTTATACTTTTTGTATTCTGAAACTCACTCACTGATGAATCATTAGTTTATTAGTAAAGATAATTAGATGCCCATGTTTAACTGTGTATAATGACTTAATATTTATAGGACTATTCAAATTCAAACATAGAACGTCATTTCAATAGTCTTAGAGATGAAAATGCAAAAAGTAAGTTTGTAACGCTACATTACATATTTTTGGACTATAGTCGGAGTATGGAAAATATTCTCTGCCTCTCATATGCCAATCGGCAGTTTTCCTTCTAAGTAACTATCAAATTATTTTTGCTCATGAATACGACACTTACCAGTAGCGTTACAGTACAATGTTGTGAACCAATGGCTACTAAAAGTCGCGGACTCCAATGCAATTTTTTTGTTCCCACGTCTATAGTTACATTATTTATTATTGTACTTATTATACCTAATAATAATATTAATTTTATCACTCAGTAAATATTTAAGTGTTTAATTTTTGTTAGGAAAGGAATTAATTTGAAATAAGAAATAAACATAGAATCTTGATTATATATTAGTATTAATACAAATAATTGAAGATCTATAAGTATTATAATTATTAATCAATTTTTCAGAACTTATGGAATCAAATGAAAAGGATTGGGGAAAATTCATATATTCTAATAGAAATACTTAAATTTATAGGGTAAGACAACAAATTGAAATGTTTTAATTGTTTTAATAGATTAATGTACCATACAGAAGAATCTTGATAATCTGAAAGAATTCAGACAGAGTTTGGTCTGGATTAGGGATTCTTCTGAATTACTCAACGTTTTCCAAGACTTAATGACTTAGAAATTTGAATCCAACAATTTAATTGATACTTTTTGATAAGTAACAAATACCAAAACAAAAATTTTTTTAATTATTACACATTTGATCTAGTAAATTTTCTTAAAGGGATTAAGTTAATTTAGTTAAATTACTTATAAGTAAAAAAAATCGTTAATTTTTGTTCAAGTGATTCAACTTTCATTAAATTGTTTTTCTTAATGTTGAACAATAGGCACAGTGAAGAGGGAGAGTTTGCATTAGGGTCCCTGGATTTTGGACATTTACTGGACTTTCTTTGTTCAATCTTAATCCTAAAACATATTAGCAAAAAATAGCATTAGGTTTTCAATAACTTGTAGACAGTTTAAGTAACAATATTACTTGCATTACAATTTTGAGCAGTAAAACTTGTTTCTTGAAATATTTTAAGTAATTCAAATTAAGTTAAGTAAATATATTAAGGATGTATGATATTATATTTTTAGTGAATTATACCTTTATATTTTGACGTGGTAGATATTATCTGATAAAATATAATATGATATGGGAGGATCATTCACTAATACGAAGTATTATCGTTGTCATTTAATAAATTTCGGTATGTGTATAGGAATATGCCAGCCTATCAAGATAAAGATATGTATAGTAAATTTAATTTATATTGAATCGTTTTTGGTAGACAAATCTTAGCAACAGTATAAATGATTTTAGAGATTTACTAATTTTTTCATAACTAAATGTTTTTTGAATGTACAATATGTGTAATCATGAATCTAAAATATTGACTTAGGTATATTAATATACTGATTGAAATTTTAAAATTTTTCATTTCTTTTAATAATAATTTGTTCACACTAAATAAATAATATTTATGAAATTAAAGTCTTAAAATTTATATACTAGTAACAATACTAGTACAGCATTTTCAATACTTAAATGTCTTACGAAGAATTCACATAATACTAATAATATAATAGTCTAAAAGTTTATTGGGCCTTGGTAAATAGAATAAAAATAGTTTTTGGTTTAAAATTATGTTTGGTGTTTCTTCCCTATTTCTTCATTGTTTAACTAGTTACAGAATACAGTTGTTATTAAAAACACTGATAACTAATACTTTCATTAAATTGACCTATGACTTGGTAGTCCAGGTGGGAACCTCACCCGTTACTGTATCCAGTCCTCCCTGATAGTATACTATGATCTAATCTAATCTTCTTTAATTTTTCAGATATTTGTTTTGGCTTTGAAAATAACTGCAGTGGTTTACTAAAGGACAGTAAAAACTTAATCAATAGGTATGAATTATTTTTTGAAACAAATGATGTATTATAATTGATTTTTTTCTATTTGAATTTTATAATACATTTAAATAAAAAGTTACTCATTTATTCAATAAATGTTCAAAATAGCTTGGATTTTTTTATAATCTTCAATATTTCATCAAACTAGCAACTGCCTTAAAATACATGTGTCTATATTTGGAAAAGTTGGTAAGTTTGAATAATTTTTAAAAACGTTTTTGAAAAAAAAAACTCAAGGATTAATGGTTTTTGGCAATATCAAATTTATTTGTTGGTTTAACTTGAAATAACTAAAGACGCTTAAAATTGTCTGTATGGCATACATTTTTTTCTTAAAGTTTTGACTTTTTTTGTACAATTTATATCATTAGAAACATTCAATTTGTATTAGTTTTTTTTTTAAATGTAATCGATATAATATTTTTGCTCAGTAAAAAAACTTTATAATAACGTTTTATTTATTATTATTATTTATTTACTTCCATCAACTTAATAATAATAATTTATTGTAAGAAAATTCAACTTATGTAGTACAAATAATTTCATAACATAATATATATTATTAAAAATAACAATAAAAAGCTTATAGATACCTACAAACTGTAAATTTATGCTTTTGGTAAGATTAAAGATGTATAAAAGGATTATAATATGAATATTATCTTGTATAATTGAATTTTGAAATTAATTTACAGTTCATTAATTATATTGCCAGCACAACTGGACACACTTTAACTTGAAACCCTAGCACGCTGAATGTATAAATATTTTTTACCAATTATGGCTAAAAGTTGGAAACTAATTTTGATGCACTTTTCATCGCTTTAAAGGATCTGGATCTTAATTTATAGAATTGATGCATAAATATTGAATTTGACACAGTTGAGATTAAGATGTGAGTTGACTGTTCAAAACCTAAGCAAATGAGGATAACTTTAAACAGTAATTTACATTGATGAACTTTAACTGAGTCATATTCATGGCATTATAATTATCTTTTTGAAAATAGTATATTTAAGAAAATTAATATTATATAAATAAGTAATTAACTAGTTATAGGTAGTATTTACCAATATCGTAATTTACCAAATTGAAATTTAGTGGAGAAGCACATAACTGTTTACCACTTCTAAACAGCAATTCATCAAAACTTCCACGACCTATAGTATAAATTAATTTTAATTATGCATAGGTAAATTCATATTCTTTTAGTAGATTTTAGTAACATAATCGCTGATAAATATAAATAATCATTTAAACAATTTAATACAATTTTTATAAATACTTTGATTGAGATTTTGAGGCACATACAATTTGTCTTGACCACTATCATAAATATCTGTACTTTCGCTGGAATCTAGATTATTAAACAAATCAAGTACAAATTGCAATTCTAGTCAATATTAGGATTTATATTAGAATTTTGTTTTAAACTTTTTACTTGCTAAACATAAATCGTATACAGAAATTAACTTTTACTAATTAAAAATATTGATTAGAACAAAAGTTACCTATTTAATTGTCAGGTTTTTCTGTTCCGCCTTGTATTATATTTAATACAAGATTTTAAAAATTGTTTGATGGTGTTTTATTCAATTATTGTTCTAAATTAGTTTTATTTTTATATAAACTATAAAGGCAATTGGTTCAAGTTTGGTTTGATCAATAAAACTGTAACAAAAAAAATTGTTTTTGTATTTTAAGAAATTACAATTGTATTAGTTTTTATTCAAAACAATTTTTGGGTACCTACCCAATACCTTGAGTAGTTAATTACCTATATAATTAATAATATTACTGAAAACCACTCTACCAAAAGGTAAGTATATAGTTTAAGTTCAATAGAAACTAAAATAAATTTATGAAAATAAATTTACAAGTAACAAGTTACAGTAAGTAATAAAAATATAATGACGTTGATCAATATTTTAAGTATATTGTACGTGGTATAATTCGTGATTGGTGCTCAGTAGACGGACTAAGTAGTAAGTACTACTAGTGCTATAGTTCACCAATACACCGTTTTGAGACGTGTTATTACGCCTCGTTTCGCCACCTGAGTAGGTAACCGTGGTCGTAATTTTCTCCCACCGAAGCCGCCAAGGTAATTCCCCGTGAACACGAAATGGAAAGTGGATGAGTTGACCGGTTAGCACTACAACGCAAGCTGTGGTCGCCGTGATTCAAAATTGCATTTAAATTATTCATTAAAAAGTCTGCACTTTCCTTTAATAACTTTATTCCTAACCGAAAGATTTCGATGATTTTTGTAAAATTATCACTCACATAATTTGTCTGATTTTTCCAATCTATTAAGTATTAATTGATTCGGTAGATGCAGTGGTGTATTGGGGCGTATACGGGGGTATACGGCGTATACCCACTTCTCTAGTTTTTTTTTATAGCGTATACTCTCTAAATGTACGATGGTACGGGTGTATACGGCCGTATGGCCCCGTATGGCTGTATGCCTAATGAGTAGTGGAATGTTCAGTGACAAAAAAATAAATATTTTATAGGCTATAATATTATTTGTAATTTTTAATTCTCAGATAGGACATAGTACTATAATAGATATCAGGCGATAAACAAAACAATATTTTAAGAACCAAAGACTTAACCAAAAATAAAAATACCCAATATCGGATGTCTATTTTTAACTTGTCATGTTCGTAGTAATGTATTCTGTGTAATAATAAGTGTGTGTGTGAGTGGGTATGATTATAATAATATACAATATATTACTATACCTATATTATTTTATAACCTTCGTTTCTAGACCATGACCATTGATAAGAATGTCTCTAAAAATAATTTATAATGTTTCAATTTTAGAATAATAATTATTATCGTCTAAAATCACTCTCCATTCTTATTATGACGTGTTCTTTAGTAAAAGTGATAAACCAGTGATGATATATTATAATATTATTTTCATTTTTATTTCAATTACAATTTATTAGCACTTTAGCAGAGCCAAGTTGTTATTATTAAACACTAGAAGCTGCTACTGACTACTGAGAAATATTTAATCATAATTCGTAAACGTTGTTTATAATGGACAGATTTGTAATTAGAGTACCAAACTCCAAGGTAAGTGTTTTATGTTTTTTATGCAAACATTATGACATAGGTATTTTATATCATTATTATTAAGATCTAACTAATTATAATTTATTAACTTGAAGCATTACAATAGCATTAAACAAAATTGTAACCGTGTGGGAATAATATCGACCTCCATACTTATCTCATTATATTAAAGCTTTCTTTAATCAGCAACTGAGTCAAATTTTGAAATTATTCCTATTAACCACACTGTCCACACTCTTGAAGTTTTCATAACTTAGATTTTTTTCATTCCGATTGATTGAAAATATAGAAAATAATACATTTTGTGTATTTAAAATAAGATTATGATGTTAGATTAAACATTAATTTAATTTATTTAGTTATTACTTATTACTATTTAAGTGTCCAGTGGATTTTATAATAGTAGGTATTATGTTTTAATTTTAATATTTCAATGAAATAAATAATAGTTCATAGGGTAGTTGCAGTTTTTAACACTTAAATTATGTATCTTAAATTGCTATAACAATTATTATTTTATTATTGGTATAAACTAAACATTTTTTATGCATGATTAATTTTATAAGCAAAATGAATTCAATTTTCCTTTTTTTATTCTCATTTGTATATTTTGTAGGATTCCCAGAATACTATTGACAATTTTAAGCAAGTGTCCACAGAAAATAATGTTGTGACATCCAAGTCAGATTTACAACCGCCGAAAAAAAAAAAAAAAATGGTAGGTACCTAAATTGCTTTTATTTAATTTTGTTAAATTAATAAAAAAAACTATTTCATTAGGTAATTGAATCTCAAATAAAAACTAAGAAGAATACATCTTTTGACATGGAAGTGCCATCAAGTGATTTTGATAACAATCCAGAAGTGCCTCAGGTAAAATAATATTTTAACCACCTAACAGGATATTACTACTTATATTTTATATATTTATTCCATTTTTATGATAAACTAGCCATATTACCTTGCTCTAGAAAACCATAATATTTAAATAAAAAATAATTTATATAATTAACTTCTAAAATACCAAGATATTAACCAGGAAAATATATAGCACATAATACATTTAAACAAATATGAATAATTTTAAATTTAAGTTATGATTTATCCTTTTGAAATCAAAAATGAGATTCTATTATTATTTGTTTATTTTTGCAATAGCTTAATAACTATACCTAGTCATTTACTATTTAAAGAAATAAAACAATCAATATTATGAGAATTATTTCAAAATACCATTCAAAGTTAATGTAATCCAAAAGGTCAAATAAAAACATTTTTCATTTTTTTTTTTTTTTACAGATAAATATAACACAAATGACCAATAATGATTCAGAAATTGTTAAAATTTTATGGCCTTCAGATTGGTCTGCTGAACAATGGGCAGAAAAAAAACAAAAATATACTTGGCTTTATTGTCAAAATGGACTTTTGGGGTGTACAACTTGTTCTGAAGTTAGTAATTTTAAAACATTTAAGAGTCAAGATTTTGAAATTTCCAAAGAATGGTCATCGTGTCAAATTAATGGTGGTAATAGCATTAAAAAAGAAACAAGACTTGCTAGCCTTCGGAATAAAATAAAAAGACATACTTCATCCAAAGCGCATAAGACAGCTTTTCATTTTATAATGCAGAAAGAAGAAAATGTTCTTTCTAAACAATTTGAAAAATCGGCATATGTTAAAAATCAATCAACTACATTAATTTTTCGTACTGCATATTATATTGCTAAATTTAACAGACCATTTAATGACCATTTTAATCTTTTGCAACTACAACAACTGAATGGGATAAAAATTGGTACTACACTTCATTCAAGGTTTTCTTCAACTAATATTGTTAACCATATATCTTTTAAAATGAAACAGAAAATTGTTACTAATATTATTGAGACTGGAGCCAAATTATCAGTTTTAATTGATGAATCTACTACCGTTAGTGCAGTTTGTGGTATGGTTGTTTTTATTAAAGCTTCCATTTCTTGTGATGATCCTATTTTTATTTTCTTAGACCTTGTTGAGCTTGTTAGTCAAACAGCTGAAAACATTGTGAATCAACTTATTGAGTGTTTAAAAGAGTCTGGTTTTAATGATCATTACTTAATAAATAACTGGATATCATTTGTAAGCGATGGTGCTAGCGTATTGTTAGGGAAAAAAAACGGTGTAGCGAAACGTTTACAAGAAAGATATCCATTAATTTTCAGTTTACACTGTATGAATCATAGATTAGAGCTGGCAGTAGGCGATTCAGTTAAAGATGTTAATGCTGTAAATCATTTCAAATCATTTATGGATTCATTATATGTTCTATATAATGCATCGCCAAAGAATCAAAATGAACTAAAAAATATTTGTAACGAATTAGATACTATTTTTTTAAAGGTTGGACGTGTATTGGACGTCCGCTGGGTGGCTAGTAGCTTAAGAGCAGTTAAAGTTGTATGGAAAATGTTTGAAGCTTTATGTAACCATTTTTCAAGTGCATCGTCTGACATAAATAGGGATGGTAAAACAAGAGCCAAATACAGTGGACTAAGAAAAAGGCTAGCTAGTCCTGAATTTCTATTAGATCTTGGTTTAATGTGTGATTGTCTTAATGAATTATCCGTCTTGTCAAACATACTCCAGAAGCGTTCTGTAACTTTAATTCAAGCTCAACAACATATAAATAGGAGTGTAAGAGTTTTGGTTTCATTTAAAGAATTAAAAGGTGAATACATGACTAAAGCAACAGTCGCAGTAAATGACATGTCTTTTAAAAATATTAAATTAGAAAAGAACTCTAAATTAGTTAACATCAATCATAATCAATTTCTTACCAGTCTTGTTGATAACTTAAAATCTAGGCTCTTGGATAAAGAACAAGATATTTCAGTAATTCAGGATATGCAAATCATGGATACAACAGAGTGGCCGGATGACTACAACATACGTTATGGCGAAGATAAAATTAACCGATTATGCAAACGTTTTCAACTTAATAAGAATGATGCTATTAATGGCTTAAGACAAAAAATTGATGATCAAAATATTTCATTTAAAAATGTTATGCCTGAATTTTATAACTTTATAAACACCTTTCCTTGCTCAACAGCAGAGTGCGAACGAGGGTTTAGTTTGATGAACAATATATGCACAAAGTTACGTTCTAGGCTAACTATTCAACATATGGTCAGTCTTATGTTTATTAATATCAATGGACCCCCACTAGAACAATGGGAACCAGAAACTTATGTCAGTAGTTGGTTGGTAAATCATAAAACTGCTGATGACACTAGAACCAAAAAAAATATCATTAAGGAACCAGAAACCTCAGAAGAAAAAAAAAGTTTATGGAAAATACTTTAGAGTTTAGATTATAATAATTGATAATAGTTATTAAAATAACTATGGTATTATGTATTATTACAGGATTATCAACCCCAAGTACCCATGATAATTTTAATATTAATTTTAAGTATTAAATATTTTATATTTAACTAATAAATGAGTAAATACTCTGAAATGTTTTAAGATATTTACTGATTATTTAGAGAAAAATCAATTCAGATACAAATACAAGATACAATATTCAGATACAATATTGTAGTGTGCCTTCAAAATATATTGTAAACTAAATAGGTTATCAACAATGTCAATATTATATCAACCAAAAATCAGTTTAATCATTTAAAGGGTTTTACTACCTAGGCACTTTATATCACTTTATGTTTCTATGTTATTTTTCTGAATTTAAGTTTCTAAAAATAGAAAGTTTCATCAATGTGTGACTACTTCCATTTCAGATTTTTCATGATTTTGGTTTGGAAAATAAGTAAAAACTAAAATAATTATCTACAATAGATTACTTTCAAAAGTATTAAGTACGCAAGTATGCGATATGTAATAAAAAATGCTGCAAAAAAAAAAATATTTTAAATGAAGTGAGGAAATTTATTTTTTGACCCAATGCTATCACTTATCACCTACTTACATGTTAAAAACAGTAGTATCCAAGGTCGTACTTAGAACAAATTTCAGGGGGAGAGGAGGTTGTACAAATCTTAGTAGGTGGTGAAAAAAAAATGATGTTAAATTTCTAAGTTTGGGTAATGCGAGAAAAATTCGTGGGGGCACCCCCCCCCCCCCCCCCCCCGGACCGACCGAACCTTTCGTATACCCACGAATAATTTTAGCAATACATCACTGGGTAGATGAATAGTTAAGTAAAGCAAATTTATACATTTATCTAAAATGTTTTATTTTTTTATTATAATGATAAGCTGTAAGCTTAAAAAAATATATTTTAATCTCATTAGACATAATTAAAATGTATATATGCCTATACTCCCTAAAACGTTAAATTCTACAGATTTTGATTAAGTGATTAATGCTAAAGCATTACTACTTTCACCTGTCACGATAAACTAAATTGACCCAAAAACGAATACACATAAATGTAACTCCTTCTAAGACAGAAAAACTAAAATTACTTTAACAGCAAACAAGTGTTTCTGTAAATTCTATAAAATATAAATTACTGCTAGAGCGTGGTACGAGGGGAGGACCCTACAATAAGATCATTAATCACTTGTGTATAATGGATTATGAATTAAATAAGCCTGAATTAGGTTATGATAAGATATCACTTTGCAATTATTGTTTACAAATATTGTGTTATGGTACATTGGAATCTGAAATGTAAGTGGTTTGGGAAACACTGAACTTCTTATCAATAGCTGTAGGATTATTTTTCGTGTAAATATCGTTGCTAACTTGTCACCTCAGTCATTGTGATATGTGTAATGTTTTGTGACACGAAGTCAATGAGTAAGCTGTCGATTCATAGTTAATAGCATGCAGTTGTTGCACACGCTTTCTTTAATAAATGAATTTAATAAAAGAACATAATAACTTAATGTCATGTGTGTGTCGCACAAGTCACTGAAACATAATACACCATTGGTAATACACAAACAATAGATATATACAGGTTCAAGACTTCATGAAACAAACACTATACTATTCATGTTGTTAAATTAACTTGAGTAAGTATAGCTAAAGTATACATTTTACTATTCATAAATTTGATTCATAACGTCAATCATAGTATAATGATGTATAGGTCTAAATTATTAATTATGTGTTGATAAGACAGCAGCCATTGAGAATAATAATTATTTACAAGGTAACTGTTTAGTTTGTTTTATATATTTCTAATCTTATTATATAAGCATGAGCACCCCCTATTTCTTTTAATTAATGAATTAATCAATTTCTGATTTTAGGAATTTTTAAATATACCCAGACCATCTGTTTAAACTCTTAATTTTTTTTGGACTGCTTGGTGTACTGTAAGCAACTATTTTTTCAAATGAGAACCCCCGTATTCTGTTTGGTGTGTAAGCATTGATCTATTATAAATCAATGATAGCAAATCAGCTAGTATCAGAATCGAAATTAGAATGAGTAGTTTTTGAGTCACTTAACTTTGTGCTCTGAGGATATTAGATCCATGAAAATGGGTTTTCATTTGAAAAACAAAAGTTAGTATTATCACAGGACATTTCATGAGTAATACAAAAAAATTCTTGAATTTGAAAAATTGATAAGAGTATATTTGAAAATTACAATGATCAGAATTTGTTGTTTAACAACTTGATGGATAATTCAATTTGGTGCTACCGTTGTTTATCAGTAATTATCCACAACTAGTTTCCCCATCCATCAGAGTAGAGGTTTATTTGATTGATATTTTATTTAGATTACATTGTTTGAATCATTTTCGGTTATTTTATTAAAATAAGCATAGGTGATAATTTCAAAAGGGTAAGTGGATGTCACTCTGCTGTTCAACAGGTCACTGTAATGTATAGTGTTAAATTTGAATTGACAAGTAAATTATTAAAAATATTTATTTTATTTAATTTTTAACAGATAATTTAAAGTTATTATCAATATTAAGACAAAATAACAAGTTATTGGTAAAAGGTTTACACTATAGCACTGAGACTGGACTTTCATTACTACCTAGGTACAATAATAATGTCTTCAATATTGATTCATAGTTACTACCGAGGAGCAGATACGTACTACATACATGTAGACCAATTAGAAGAATTATAATCATTATTCATTATATTGTACATATTTTATATTAATAGTATGTTTGAAAATTATTAGAATAATTCTAAGAAAAATCATTTAACATTTTTTTTTTTGTGAACTAGTTAATATGTTATATTAAACTGTATTAATTATTATTTTTTTCCTAGAAAAATGTTTACCTGTGTTATATGTAATGAGATATTTATTGGAATTCACCTCAACTCTGCTTATACAACACAGTGTGGCCATGTCTTTCATCATCAATGTATTATGAGATGGTTAGAAAGGTAAAATAATATATTATTTTAATTTAACTTGTTATAAACTTCTTGCTTAAAAAATTAATTTTTTTTGTCTAAAGATCACCTTCCTGCCCACATTGCCGTTCATCGGTATTAGAAAATAATGTCGTAAAATTATTTTTACAAGTTGATGATAATATTCGAATAACACGGATTAGAGAAACTGATGAAGAAATAAATACACTTAAGTAAATATTTTTAATTATTAATATTTGAAGTCACATACATCTAAGTAAGCCATAAGGAATATTGAATTATAAATCACGTGTTTAACTTTTATCATCATTTAATTAATTTTGAAATAATAGAACCTATTATTAAGATAATTGATACTTCTGTCTTATTTAATAAATAATTTTGAACATAAAATGTTATTTTTTAATATTTAATCTAGCATATAAAAGGAAAATAATGGATTTATTATTTTAAGTCGAATTTAAGTAAAACATTCTTAAACAAAACGATAACAAACTTTTGTATATTGAGGTTTACGGGATATAGGTCATAAAGATGTATTATTATTTTTTGTTTTAAGGAGATTTATGTCTTATATGAGGTCCGTTATAAGGTTTTACTGTATTGTCATACTTAATGTATTTGAATTTATGTTATTTTATAAAATACTTTGTAATATAAATAAATTCTTAATTTTCCAAATTTGAGTATTCAGTGTTCAGCACTAGGTAATCCAAATTATTATAAAACTTATTTTAAAAATATTAGGTCTTAACCATAACTCAAATAAAAAAAATACAAATATAATATGAATGCTTTTAAATTTAATTTGCTTCCAATAAATTGGAGCAGAGGTTCTCAGACTTTTTACTCTACAACCCATTTAGTAAAAAGTTCTAACTTTGGCGACCCACAACACATAAATTATACATTTTTTTTTTGCTGTTGTTTCATTGATGAACGCTGTTTGAAATAACTTTTAGTACTAGAACATTGTGGTGACAAGTTAATTATTTAGTTACATTTAAAATATGAGTATTTTATACATAAAATAAATGGTTATTTCAAAACCCACCAAAGATATAATTATTCCCACAGTTTAGAAATCTCTGTATTGGAGTATTATTTATTTATACAGATATCTGAAAATTAAAAGAACTAAGAATATTTAAATTTAAATAATTTATGATGTATATGTATTGCTATTAAGTATCAAAATGTATTTAAAAGTAATTTCTATTCATACTTCAATTCAATCTTAAATTACAAAAAACTAATATCATTCTAGTAAAATAAGCACAGATTTTTTAATTTTTAGGAAGCAACTAAAAATTTTAAAGGAGAAAGAAACCCAAAATTCTAGCTCAATTAAATGTCTTGAAGTTCAACTAAGAAAAAAAGAGATTGATTTAGCCTCAAGCAGAGAAAGTTTACGTTATTTTGAACAAGTAGCTGAAAAACAAAAAAAGGAAAATTCTGCACTAAATTTGTTGAAAGTGTAAGTAATCTTGCATAATATTATGCAATTTTTTTATTAACTAACTTCTATCATACATAACCAAGTTTTTTAATTGTATTTTATGTTTTAATTTATTTTAGAGAATACAATGCATCGGAAATTGAAAGAAAGAAATTGAAAGCTGAAAATTTACTTCTGAAATCAAAAATTAAATTTCGAAACTACGAACTTTACAATTTACAATCTTCAAATTCATCGTATATTGAGTAATGTATTTTTATTTGACATGCACTCATTAATTAAAACAGGACATAAATACTAATTTTATTTTATTTATCTATTAGTAAATTAAAATTGGAAATAGCTGATTTAAAATCAAAAATAGCGTATGTTCAAACCTACTATAATATAGAGGATATAAATATCGAACAACCAAGTACATCTAAGGTAATTAGTATTTCTTTTGTTAGTATAAGTATTCTTGTCTTTCATTTAATGCTAGTGGCTCTCAACCTTTTTTCCCCACAATTGTGTGTGTGTTTTTTTTAATTCAATGGCACCTTGTGGTTTATAATACGTGTAATAATTTATTAATTTATAGTATGATGGTATATTTTTGGTATGAACCCTTTATATTTTCAATAAGTTTGTGACTCATCGAAGGCCAGTTCAAGGTACCCTGGTTGAGACCACTGATCAAATATGATAAAAGCAGTAGTATAATAAATAATAATCTACAGTATATCAACAGTTTTCTCAACAAGATTTATCATAAAATATATAATACAAATCTTAGTTATTAAAGATGAGTGTTACAACAGTGGGCGGCTCTTACTTAAGCGTAGAAACAGAACACCATGTCTTTTGGTGCCTTTTCTGATTTCTATATTTTAAATGGTCAATATTATTTCATAAAAGATGTATATCTATTTTACATGTCATAGTTACTTACCTTTATAATTCAGACTTTCAGTAGAAAATCTTTTGAAAAAAATTGCCTTTTTTTAATGATTGAAAAATTGTAACTAAACATTGCAAAGACTTGTGCTGGATTTCAAATTTATAAATGTCTCAAAAAAAAAATTGTGGTAATATATTTATCATTTTATCATTGACCATTAATTCAAATAAATTTGCATTGAAGATGTTCTCGAAGAGGTATAATATATATTAATTTAAAACAATAAGAATATGTTATTTAAAAGTTAATGCAATAGAGTCAATTATTATTTTATTCACCATCGACTTTAACACCATCCTTTTGCCTCCTCGCATCCCCACTTTTTCCTATGTGATAGATACTCTAAACTCTGATACATGCTTTCAATAAGAGGCGGAGAACATAACATATCATAAAAAGTAGGGGATATGAATCAGAATGTTGCTGATATAACTATATTCTTTGTCGTGGTTTCAAATATTTAATTTCTTCAAAATGTAATTTTCAAACTAAGTGACATCCAGTTGAATGATTTTATGTTTCCTTTAACTTTAGGCACACCCAATATGATAAATTTTAAATGTTTTATTAATATATTTAATTTTAAACATAAACATTGTTATTCTTATAAAAAATTATACCATATTTAATTAAAATGTGTATGTGGTAAAATATTTAAAGGTATTTGTGTTTAAATTTCCAGATGAATATTGGAAACAAAAACGCTTTATCATTTCAAAATGAAAATAAAACCAGATATTATGGACCTGATTCTCAGTTGCACAGTAAGATATTTAATAACCATTCTCTGTAATAAAAATATAATGTTAATAAAAAAATAATCACAAATGTTATTATACTATGAGGTTAAGCGTTAATAACCCAAATGGGTGGAAAAATTAAAAAAAAAAAAATACACTTTCCATAATAAAATGTACATTATCAGTAGCAATACACCTCATTACTCAAATAATAATACAATGTATAGTGAAACCTGTATATAACAGTCAGTCACAAGACCATAAAAAGGGAAATATATCATATATAATAATTGTTATGGGTTTTATCAAAGTACCTATGTACTTAATTGCTATTGTGCTTCTACACATCATGCATGTATACTACTTACACTGTGTAATTATATTTGAGTGTGAACTAAAATTGTCCTCTGTGTTAAAAGTATGGAGGAGAAATATGTTTGTGTCTATTATATACAAGTTTAAATACGCTGTTATACCTTTTTGCTGGGAATTTATAATATTGTTTGTTGAGAGATGACCATTATATAACAGTGTCTGTTAAATCAGGTTTCACTATATTACAAAGAAATGTTATGTTATAAATTATGTTATATTGAATTATGTATTCATATGAACTTTACTCTCATAATAACAAATAAAATGATAAATAATACAATAGAGGTTGTCATATTATTTCTGTCATATGAAACTTCACCACTGTGTATGTTTAGTAATGTGGTGACAATATTTCTAATTGTGGTGCTAATAATAAAACAAAATAGCTTAAACATAATATATGATATCACATACCTAGCATCATAGCTAATTAATTTTTAGGGTCCACTTATTCTATGAGGTTAACAACGGTCACCACTTATGTTCATAGCAGAATACATACTTTCAAAACTTTTAATACCTTATAATTTCATATTTAATAAGTAATTTAATTTAATTTTTGATTTATAGCATTCAAAGAACAATTTCTATTAGGATGTGTATTTTTATTTGTTGATAACCAAATCCAACATGGAGATTTTAATGTATGCAATCATACAATTATATCCAAGGAGGATATTACTAAACATGGCGGATCAGTTGAACAGAATTATTCTGTTCATGTTACACATGTAATTTGTGTCACCCAAAAACACCATTTAGTTGAACTAGTAAAAATAATATTGATTTTTACATAAATATATAATTATTGATATATTCATTATTTCCTTATACTGTTTCCAGGGTATAAATGATGGTAAAAGATGCGTGACTTATTACTGGCTCATTGATATCTTTCTTAGAAAAACAATGATAGCCCCTTGGTTAGCTATTCACTTTCCCATACCCTACAGGTAATACAAATTAGATATGCATATTGTATAAAATAATAAAAATATAAATTGTGCAGTTAAAACTCAAAATGAAATCTAAAATTTTCCTAATTAAAACAAATGATATTTAGAAGAATTTTCGTTTTGTTATTATAGCATATATTTGTTTGAAACATGGCAAAATGTTTTCTTAAGGTTTTTGTTGTCATGGTTACTTCAGAAGAGTACTATGGTTTTTTTTCCAATTGAGAGTACTAAAAACTATTTCTTCTTATAATTAAACTTATAATAAATACTATTTAACTATTTATTTATATTTTCTAAACTTATTTCGTAGATTATTATAACTGTATCATTTTTATTCATCAATAAAAAATGAAATACTTGTACTTACTCAAGTTCAAAATTCTTTTGTCCCATATTTAAGAATGAATATAGGTAGTGTAACTGCATTGAAATATGAATTTAAAATCTTTATTTTTTTATTAATCTAATGTTATTTTAAAATTGATTAGTTATTCTTAGTTTGAAATAAGTTATTTATAGTAAATTAAAGGGAAAACCATAATTATTTAAGGAACGCTGATTGTGGGTCTAATAACTAAATTTGTCTTATTAATATTTTTTAGTATAGAGAATATGCCATGTCAAAATTTTCAATTCGCAATCGCTAATTTTGGTATAAATGAACGTCAAATAATTAAATCAATGATTGAACTAGTTGGTGGTTATGTAAACGATATTACTTGCAGAACTGATATTGTAGTTAGCCTGAAGTAAGACATTATCAATAAATATTAATATATTTAATAATTAAAATATATTATTATACAGTAAAACTTTCATGTTACGGTCATCTCTAAGTAAAGATAATTTTTGTTTTTATCTCATTAAATTGAAAAATATTATTAATAATCGTAAAAAATACATGAATATATTAAGTAACACATAAATTTGAAAAGTTATAACTTTTCAAAAAAATATTTAGATTTTAACAAGTAACTATTTAAAAATAATTTTTTTGTTTGTTAAAATTTATAATTTTTTAGTTAGCTAGTTTTTGTTATTTCAATAAAATGATAAATTGTTTAATTATATTTTTGTATTTTTGAATGTAGTACCAAAGGTGAACTTGTAGAAAAAGCTTTAACCCGTCATATACCAGTGGTTAATGTGCAATGGTTAAACGATATACTTCTTGGAGAAAAAATTTGTATAAAAGAACACGGATTATTAAAATTCAAACAATTTGATTTGTGTAATCCATTTTTAGTGAATTTCAACATGGTATCGTGTTTAATGGGTATGGTATCAATTAATTATGTTTTTTTGTATCATGTTCATTGTTTGGCAATAAACTTGACAGTTTTATAGTTGCTTACTTAATGTTCAATATTCACAATTCAAAATTAATATATTGTAAGAAATTAAGTAGATTTCACACAAAAATGTCTTGTCTCCCTTTTATGTATATCATTTCCTCTTTGAGTTCAGTCAAATCAATTTTATGTTGTTGTCTTTACCTAATTTTAAAATCGTATCTATGTTTGTTTGTCTAGTTTTATGATAATTGAAAATATTTTAGTTTAAAAATTCACCATACTAACTGATTAAAATGTCACAAAAAACCCATCTGACAAATACATGTTCTTACCTTTAAGTTTGATATTAGGTAAATTCACTCTTATATTTAAGCTGATACCTTAAATTTGGTATGTTGTATATATATAATTGCATTAAAATAAAATAATATAGAGACATATGGGTGGACATCCTCTTAAGAATAAAAAATTACTGTAAATTTTAATTAATATTAAAAAAACATTTTAGAGGCTTGGAAAACTCCTTTGATTTTATGTCAAAGTCAACAAGACATAACAAAACACACAGATTTTAATATAAATTCAGCTGGCCCTACAAAATGTAAAAGACAAAAAACAATGTCTATTGAAACTCAACAAAGGATAAATTCAAATGATGATGACATTGATGACGATGATGTTATCATTACTTATATAAAAAAATGTCCACTAAAACCATGTGTGGTGTTTAGTGGTTTTTCAACGGATGATGAAGAAATACTTAAAATGGTATTTTGTCATTTGATTTTTTTTTTCATTTTAAAATATTAAATTTGTTGTTATATTTAGATATTACATTTATTTGGTGGTAAATTAGCCAATCACTATGCTGAAGCAACTCATTTAGTCATGAAAAAACCTGTAACATCGATAGAGTTTTTTGGTTGTCTTTCAACTGTTAAATATGTTCTCAATGAACAATGGTTAAGAGATTCACATTCCAGTTTGATACTCCAAGGTAAATTTTTACTATCAATATTTTCAATAAATATATCAATAATTAAGTTTTGATTATTTCAAACTTTATCAGTTAATGGTTTGCTTTGTATAAATAACTTTGATATTTTTAAGTACCTATTCCCTAAATCTGTCATCTCATCTTATTTGGATAAGCTGGTAAGTGTTTAAAATTTGTAAGCCAATTTAAATAGACACTACCAAGTACCAGTACCCTACAATAGATTTCAAGTATTTCAAAATATAATGTTTGTTACTTTTTACTTAAAGGTTATTATATTATATTCTTAAACAAAATAAAAGATAACCTACCATATGAAAATGTTTAGTATATATTATAACTACTATAGTTAAACATATTATAGTGAGAGCCCTTCATCAATAATAAAATAGAATCATATTCCTGTATAGGGGTAGCTTAGCCCCCTCCCCCCAGTTTGAATATTAGCCCCCCATAATAATTGTTATCCATTTCATTCAGTATAAGTACCACTGTACTTATCATATTAAATTTGACGTGGCGAATGACAATTAAAATAACAACTAACATTATCACTTTCGTAATTTTTTGTCATAATCGTGTTTCATATAAATCAGAACTTACTTAAAAATACCATTTTATATTCTGAGTAGAGCAAGTTAATATTTTCGGGAGGTAACAATTGAAAATGTTCAGTTATTTTTTAATAATGAAAATGAAAAATAAAAAAATAAGGAAATGCAGGATATTCTATGCAATACCATATTTTTAACTAAATTTATTTTGTTTTTTTGGTGTATTGGTAACTAAAAACAGTAAACTATAGATTGTACCTTGACGCCTATCTGAAATGTTTACTAAATTGTTTTATGCTTTTTGAGCTGTCTTAGACATTTTTGATTTTATAGTTTTTTTGTATTTTATATCTCGGATATTATTGCTTAGTGAAGATATTGGAAAATTGAATATTATGTTGTTGCTCATAAGTTGTTCACATAATACATTTAAAAAAAAAATATTGAAAAATATAGTCACAATATTTTATTTATAAGCGTATACGTAAGGTTAGAATTGTTATAAAATTCAAAAATGTTACCAAAATTTAAAAAAAATGTTTGAAGTTGAAAATATATGAAAAAATGTATTTTTATATCCGAGATTTGAAAAATCAATACAAGATCCCTCATAAGTTTTTCTAATTTAATAGTAATAATAATTTTTTTAAATTTTTTGTAATAATTATGTTTTTAAAATGCCTTAAGAAAAAACATTTTATTATTTATTGGTTGAAATTTTTTTAAATGTAGAGAACATTTTTTTCTATTGATTGAGCTCTAGTATTATTTTATCCTAGTGGGATAAATATTTTTTTATATTAATGGCCATAATTAAATGTATGACTCAAAATTTGAATTATTTTGGAATGTGTGTTATTTTATTATTAAATGTATGAAGTTCCGATCCCTGGTTATAACTAATGACTAATGAATGACTAATGAATGTAATATGTATAATTTGTGCTAAAATTTCAAATATTAATATTTTTCTTGATGTTCATATTCAAACTTAATTTCAGATGAAAAAGAATATTTTATACAAAATATACAACATCAATTGTTTGGGTTATATAATATAACTACAATTCTTGCAAACAATAAGCGTCATCTACTATTTAGATATTTATCATTCTTTGTTACTCCTGGAATTAAATATCCACCCTCTTCTTTTTTTGAGCAAATCATTTTTTCTGCTGGTGGTACAATTGAAAGAACAAGAAGATCTTTGGAGTCAATCCATGGTTTGGCACCTAATTCCTATTTCATTATTTCATGTCAAGAAGATCACTATTTGTACAAGGACTTGTTGGGTATTTCTAATGGTATTGTAATTAAAACATAGTTTATTTTTTGAGAAAACTAATGAATTATAAATTACATTCTTTTAGTTGTTTATTCTCCTGAATTCATTACATGTTCATTCCTCGCGCAGCAAGTTCAACTACAAAAATATTTACTGGAAATAACTGCTCAAGACTAAATATTAAAATACTTTTATTGTGTAATAAAATTTTAAATTTAAATTAATTATAGTTAATAGTATTTGAGAATAATTCATGTGTACAAATATGTATTGCCATTTTATTTAAACGCTGCATAGATAAATTCCAATTATACAGTATAATTGTACAATAAAGGCGCAACTGTAATGATAACTTATAACAGGTATTTTTAATGGATATTAAAAAATTATAAATATTATTGGCTCGTGAGTTATATGTAGTGTTGCACAGACTTACTGTTATTATATTTATTTTAACTGAAATATACGTACATAATGTATAAAATATTGAAGTTAGTGTTTCCATTTTTTATTTTTTATTATATAAAATTACTTAACACTTCTTAAATAATTAAAATAATAATATACAAACAATGTACAATGTAATTTTGAAGTTTGACTCGTTTTTCGGAGGGACTGTGTTCGTTTTTGTCACCTATTTTTTCCTCTGATCTTAATCCACCGAAAACAATTTTGTATTGTCTAGACATTTACTTTCTTGCACTCTCCCTTTGCTAGATAAAGAGCATCAAGAATGTCTACTTTTTATATCGTTAGCTCGCAAGGTTCAAGATGCATCATGTTCGAACGCGGCTGATTTTCCCGTCGAATCGTTTATATGGCCTAGGCTTTATAAGTCTGCGCGATCGGTGTGGAGTGTTCGCGACAATTCATCCCCCCTCTACGCACTCGCGGCCGCCGATGTTCATTGTAACCGGCGTCCGTTCATAGTTTTGTTGTCTTTTTCCAGCGGTCAAGCGAGACGCAACGTCCCGTCCGCTTGCCGCCACCGCCGCCACAACCTTGTGTGATCAGGAGAATCTGTTTGTTGTGATCGTGTGCCGTCTTGTACCAATTATCGTAAGTCCCGAGGTAGTCTATAGACTTATTTTGGCCGAGCTGCCCATACACCAATTATTGTACCAGTGTACCTGTTGCGTATCGCATATCGCATCGTATATGTGTTTTGTGTACTTATATATAAATATCTATAGACTATAATGTCGATTATTGTTATTATTATACTGCGATAAGATTGTGGTCGTCCGCCCGATCTTCGTCCGTACATCATAGTATTGTACATTAAAATTGTGTTAGTCGTTTGTGGTCTACGTGACTTTGAGGTCTGTGCTGACCTCACGCGAAAATTATAATAATTATCATTTAAAAATGTAATTGACGAAATAAATAGATAGCATTTAAAATACACAAATTACGACTCAATTATTATTCCAACAATATACAGTCCACTTAAATCGAAGTTATTAAGAAATTGTCAGTGTTTCACGCAACATTTGGTCCATTCGTCCGGATTTGAACTAGCACCGAAGCACGTGATCGATCAACGAAAAAATCATTCAAAAAGAAAGTGCTAGCTGTTGCTGTACACAAAGTCTACGCGTAAGGTTAGCAAACCAGCCCACCAACCACCATCGAAGGAATCAAGTTATCAAGGTAAGATAGTCACTTTTTATATTTTTCCTTTTTTCCGTATTATTTAAAAGTGTTCCTGTCTTGTCACTTAAATAAACAAGGTAATTCCCAGTCAGACTAGTGAGTCAAGTACAGTCGCGATATCAAAGTAATAAATATTACGGCATCTTTGTCGAAACTTTAACCCATGTTCAGATAACATCGTATTAGCCAATAGGTACAATATAATATAACCTTAGTTATCTACACGGAAATATATCGAATAGCATAGTATAAACATTTTATTATTTGACGATCATTAGCATCGTCATCGTATAAAGTAAAATGGAAGGTACAGCGCGACGCGGTCAAATAAGGGCAATAGTAACACGATTTCAAAATTTCATAAGATCACCCGAATGTAATCTAAAACAAATACCTCTGCGACAGGTCAAATTAGAAGAAGCTTGGCAAAGTTTTAAATTAGTCCAAACAACGATGGAAGAATTAGAAATAAGCAACAATACAAATACAGATCATTCGCAATATAGGATCGATTTCGAAAATTTATTTTTTGAGACAGTTGCTGAGGCTGAACAAAAACTTAGCTCCACTAGGTCGAACCAGAATGACACCACTGTCCGAAGTTCCGATCGTGGAGAGAGCATTAATTCGACATCATCGATTATAAAATTGGCAGCGTTAAATATACCGGTGTTTAATGGTAGTTATAATGATTGGGTATCATTCAAAGACATTTTTAAGGCATTGATTCATACAAATAGTAATTTAACATCAATTCAAAAATTGTTCTATTTACGGTCTTCTATAACCGGCGAAGCGGCAAATTGCATAAAAAATTTTGAAACAACGGCCATAAATCACGAGCACGCTTGGAAGACATTGACCACGCGTTACCAAAATGAAAAATTATTAATTCAATGTCATGTCAAAGATATATGCGAATTAAACGCAATTGAAACAAATTCGTCGGATAGTTTACGCCTGTTCTCAGACACACTACGTAGTCATATTTCGGCCCTTGAAGCATTAAAGCAGCGACCAAGCGAATAGGGCCCATTACTCATACACATAATATGCACAAAACTAGACTCAAACTCGCTAACTGAATGGGAGGTAAAATCACCAAAAACCGAAATTGCTAAGATCGAAGATTTAATGATATTTTTAGACGAACGTTCGCAAATCTTATAAGCCGTAGAATCATCTAAAAACCTAATGAATACCACATCGGAAATTAATAACAGCACAGGTAAAAAGAATAATTATAATAAACAACGTACACCTTCTACAGTGCTCACTACTACCACGGATGTAACCTGTTTTATATGCAACTTAAAACACACCATATACAAATGTCCCACGTTTTTAGCACTATCAATAAACGATCGCATGAAGAAAGTAAATGAACTCAAATTATGTAAATTATGCCTGCGTAAACATGATTTAAAAAAAAGATGTTTGTCACGAAATTGTTTTAAATGTAGCAAAGCACACAATACCCTGTTACATATCTTCCAAAATAAAATTAACAATGATGAAAAAACGGAAACAGATGAGAAAACAAACCGTTCACCGATCCAAACTGACGCTAACGCGTCAATAAGCTCGCATGCGCATAGCACCAATTATGAACAGATACTTTTAGCAACCGCGATCGTTCGAGCATTTGGAGAAAATCAAAAATCATCATTTTGTCGCGCATTATTAGACTCGGGTTCGCAAAGCAATTTCATTACAGAGGAATTGGTTCAAAGTTTAAAATTACGAAGATCGGGTTAGCCTTAGGTTATCTATCCACTATCTTATCGCAGTATAATAATAACAATAATCGACATTATAGTCTATAGATATTTATATATAAGTACACAAAACATATATACGATGCGATATGCGATACGCAACCAGCGTTGGTAAAAAACATGTTT